GCCGAGAGGAACCCCGTGGACGCTGGGCCAGCGCCCCCTCGCCTGCAGGAGGTGCCCCGGTCCCTGGAGGCTCGCCACGTCCGCGCCCCGTGGCCCCGGAGCTCTGGACCAGGCACCCTTCGGGTATAGGCGATCGACTGCTACATGCCGGATGTGCCACAAGTGGACTCCCCCGTGGGGGCATCGCACAAGCATATACGTACGCGGAGCGTTCGCAGATCGAAGACCATCGCGCGCACGTCTCGCAGGCCCGGCGCACACGTCGAGACTGGAGCACGTCGACTCTGCAGCCGCTCCCCGCCGACACCCACACAAATAAATACACACAAATAAAAAGATTCCCCATATTTTCCCATCTTTTATGGGTTTTTGTTTTCCCGCCCAATCCCCATATTTTCCCATATTTTCCTGGGGATCCACGATTAATTGTGTCTGTGTGTTTTTTCTCCTCCTGATTTTAGTCGAAAACCCCCCAGAAGGGGGACACGCCCGACACGTTTGGGTACATTTTCGGACCACCCTCGCCACCCCCCCATTTATGACCCCCCCATTACGCAACGCCCAAGCCGCTCGTGCGTCGGAGGCCCCGGAGCCCGACGACCCCCGACTGACTGCCTGCCAGACCACCCCACCCCAACCCGAAGACCCCGATTTCGGGTTGGGGGGGGTACGGGCTCCAGATGTGTTTCTCCGGTGTTCCCCGACCCTCCCCCCCCGACTGGTCATGGAGGGCAAATTGAGGCCTTCGGGTTTGGGTGGGAGGGTTTGGTCGGTGGTGACCGACGACGTGACCTGTTCATCACGCCGCCGGGAGCGGCCAAGAGGGAGGCGTCCACGAGGGGGGGGCACAAAGCATGGCCAGCGGCACGTGCGCGGGCCAGGGGGTGGGGCGGGGCCGGGGGCGGAATGAAGTGAGAAGCGGCGCCATGACATCTGGGGAGATGTCATGGCCCCCGCCCTGATATCCACCCCCCCCCCTCCTGGTCATCGCCCCCCTCTTGGGCGCCTCCGACGCCGACCTCCGCAAGTCCCGCCCCATTCCCCGGGGTCGGCGCTTCATCCGGAGCCCTTTCTTGTTTGGCGGCCCCGAAGCCCCGCAGAGGGCCCCCCGAGGCTGAAACTAGAGAGAAGCCATCAAAAAGGGGAAGCGCCGACCCCCTATCCCAGACTGTGGGGTTTTATCGGCTGGACCAGAAATTTGGGCCCAAGCCTGGGATCTACGATGGGGAGGCGTTCGCGCCCGGCGCTGCCGTCGTCCACGCGGCGCGCTCAAGCGCCCTGGCGCCCCAGCGCCAGTCCCCCACGTCAGGGTCCAATTCTTATGAAGGCCTTCCGCCTTCGGGCTCGTAAACGTCGTAATGGTTTGCCCTGGCCCGACGGCGGCAACGTAGTTCCGCTCTTCCTTGGCAGCGGGAACAAATACGGCCTCGACCACAAGTCCCCTCCCCTTCCGCAACGGGCGCGCGCGCTCGGCGCTTGCCCCAACGACGTGGCCGTCAAATGGCGCCGGCGGCGGCGGCGCCGGAGATTCGGGGGGCCGACGCGAGGCCGCCGGGGCGGGGCCAAGCCCAGCCGCCTCCAACGGCGACAACGGCAGACAAGATTTGAAAACGCTTCAGTCCTCGGGTCTGCGACGAGCTTTCGGCTTCGGCGCAAGGGCGCCGCCGATGGCGACGACTGAATCAGCGTCGCCACCTGGCTGCGGCGAGGGGCCTGGACCGGAGGTTGGCGCCATGTCGGCGAGAGCGCCTTTTTCAGAACCGCGCGATGCTCTCGATCGCTGAGACCTGGTTCCACCGCTTTCCCTGCCATCAGGCACATGGTGAACGTTTTTATTATTCGGCGTTTCGACATTGGGCGGAAAGGGGGGGGAATGGGGGGTCTGGCTCCGGACCTCTGCTTACCGCGACTGATTGCAACAGTGCGTCTGATGGGGGCGGGAGACCCCACCTGCTAGAAACAGGCGCCCCAAAACAGCCAAAATCTACTCCAAGGGGGGGGAGGGGGGGGGTACGAGGGCCCGCGCCGATTGGCAAAACAATGAATGACCAACAAAAATAACGTGTAAATCGCTGCTTCTCGTCGCTGGGCATGCTGGGCGTCGGCAGCAGGCGACGGCATAGATCAACTTCACAGGGTCGGGCCTCCTCTATTTCCCATCGCCAGCCGGCGTATTTAACACGAGTGTTATGGCATCCTCCTGCACAGCGGTGTGGCCCGCTTGACCTTCCGCCCTTGCCCACTCCGATGGCGTCAGCGCAACGGCATGGAAACATTTCGTCCCAGAGTGCCTTGCGAAATCTTCAAACCTGTCGGAGTCGTCGTCGAACGAATCCCCCGCCAACACCGTCCGCAAACGCGCCAAACTGCAAGAATGAATGCTACCGTGTGAACAGAACGGCACGCACGAAGAAAACTGTATGCGATGCCTGACGGTGTAATCCAGCCAACCTGCGATGGGGCCGCCTGCCAGGGTCATCACCTGTCGCGACGAACGTCCGCGGCAAACAAGACGCCGCGCACACGTAGTGGGCCCTGGAAACGACAGGGCCGTTTTGCTACCAGCTCCGTTTGGCCGTTTTGCCGTCTTCGTTTGCCGGTTCCGACGCCGCTCTTTCACCGGTTTTGATTCGCCATTTTTGCCCCCAATTCCAGCTCTCCAAATCCTGGAGCCGTTTTTGCTTGCCTTTCGTTTGCAAGAGACACGTTTTCGGAAACGCTGGCAGGACGGCCCTGCCGTTTCCAGGCCCACCTTAGTTTAAGTCGGGCCTGTCCCCCTACAAAAACTAGCCTGGGGACTACTTGTTTTAGTATGTTGGGGCATGGCTTGAGTATGTTTTGAGTTGTTTTAAGATAAAAAAAAAATCGTCCAAAATCCCCCCGTAGGGGGACAGGCCCGACTTCACCCTACGGTCGGCGGACGCAGCGCCTGAGCCCGGTGCAGAGGCGAAACTTCGCGGAGCCTTGAGAGCCTCGAGTCGCAGACTGGAGACCGCTGTGAATGCGCCTGCGGCTGGCAGGCCGCGTCGGATGCGCGGGGCGCCCTTCGTCTCCCAGGACGGGCCCGCGAGCCAAGGTGAGATCTCCGCCTGGCGTTTCCGCTCCACCGCCTGGGAACCCAACCACGATTTTGTGCCGACTTGGCTGACGGACGCCATGTGCACTGAGTCGACACGGCCACGGAGGGGCTGGTCATGTCGCTGACGCTAAGAGTAAGCACGACGCAGAAAGAATCATGTCCGGGCAGCGCCTGCGAACCAGCGTAAATGTTGCAAATTGGGCGCCGCTGCGCATCGCATCAAAAGTCGTGGGTGCACCTGCAGGGAAGGCATGCCTCCGTTGGGGGCAACATGCTTGTCCGCGCTGCGCGAGCGCTGGGCGCCCCGGAGCCGCGACTGAGACCCCCCGCTTCGAACTCGTCCCTCCCCCCTTTTCCCAGCCTGGCGAGGTCATCGCATGTCATCTGTGCTTGGTTTACGAAACACCCTCTCTATGGTGATCCATTTTCCGTGGGGGGCGCCTTGCTAGTGGATGTCGAAAGGCGGGGCGGGGGAGGGGGCTTGAACGTGACCTTGAAACTTGCTGCGAGCCCCGGGGGCTGAACCGGGCCAATCTCGGGGCCTCTGAACCCCTTGGCGTAGATCCCAGGGATTCCCCCCCCACTTCTCTGTACGCCCGCACTTGTCGGGGGCGAAAAATCGCCTGCGACCATCCGTCCCTAGACCCCCGACGTCATGATCTTCTCGTAACGTCGACCCCCAAGGATCTCGTCCCATTCCCCAGGACAGGTTTCTCATCCTGAATGTAGTTTTTGACGGTCCCGAGAGCCTGTGAGGGCCCCAAAGACCGAAAACTACGAAAATCCTCGCGTCGTAACTGTTTCATGACGCGAGCGGGTCTGGGTCGTGGCTTTGTCAGGACAACAGTTGGCCTGGGATTACGAATAGTCGGGCGCGTCCTCCTGCAAGCGGACTTGGAACGAAAAAATAAAAGTCGTCGAACAATCCTCCGATCCGGCGTGTGAGTTTCTGAGAGCATGGACTTGACCTCGGTCAAGCTTCGCTCTGCAAGGGGGGGGGGGGACGCCCATTCTCGACGCATTTAGTGCTCGGGGGCGGGGGGGTCCACAGACCCCAACGAAGCCCCAAGGAGGCTCTGGATGGGGTGGGGGGAACGCCATTACGGACGCATGTAGTGCTGGGGGCGGGGGGGGCCCACAGGCCCCCACGAAGCCCCCAGGAGGCCTTGGCCCGAAGGAGGCCCCAAAACGACCGCCAAGAGGCATCCCCAAGTCCCTTGCTCAATCCCCTGAGCCTCAGTCCTCAAGCCTGAGGATACTGAATGGGCCCGGACCCTAGGCTATCAAATCTCTTGAGGCTCCCCGCGCGCCCTCTGGGGCCCCCAGAATGTTCCCGCATGACATCTCCGAGCCCAAGAGAAGGCAAAGACGGGCCAACAGGGCCCCAAGAGGCCCTCAAGACAGCCCAAGAAAGCCCCGAACCACCGAACGATCGGTCCAAGGCGCCCAAGATGGCCCCATGGCCATTACCATGATAAACATCATCAACACCCTCCTCCTCATCATCAGACATCATCGCCAGACATCATCATCATCATCATCATCATCATCATCATCATCATCATCATCATCATCATCAGCATCATCAGCATCATCATCATCATCATCATCATCATCAGCATCATCATCATCATCATCATCATCAGCAGCATCAGCATCAGCATCATCATCATCAGACATCATCATCATCATCATCATCATCATCATCATCATCATCATCATCATCATGATCATGATCAACATCATCATCATCATCATCAGACATCATCATTATCCGGAGCGCCCTGGATCGGCGGCACTGGCCGGAGGCCAGCACAATACTCACGCCTATCAAAGCTTACGGCTCGACGGAAGACTACGGCACGCCCGACGCGGCAGCCCCGAGCAGCACCTCCGGCCGGGCCCTCCGCGCCCGGCCCGCCTGCAGCTCCTGCGAGATCCTGCCGTTCACTGGGGCCTGGGCGCGGCGCGCCGCCGAGAGGCCGTCGCCGTCGTCGGCGCCGCCGCCGTCGCCGCCGTCGTCGTCGAAGGCAGGGGACACAGAAATGAAACAAGCTCTTCCGCCTTCACCTCCACGGTGGCTCGTCAGGGTATAACCTCCACGCGGGATGAACAGTCTCCACCTCCACGGTGGCACGTCAGGGGATAGCCTTCCCGGCCGCCCTGGGACAGGCGCCCCCGACGGCGCAAGAAGTGTGTCTTGTACCGTCCTAGATGTCCCCTTCTAAGATCGGGGGGGAGAAGAGAGCTGTGCACATACACTTAGGTCGGGCCTGTGCCCCTACAGGCAGATTCTGGACGGGAAAAAACCCTAAATACCCCCAAATCGGCAAAAATAGTCTAAAAAAAATTGTCAAGATTCCTCCTGTAGAAACATACGCCGATCATGGCCAGACCCAACCCGGGCACAGGATCCCGGCATGTCGTGGGAGGGCTCGGCAGGCGCTCTGCTGCCATGTGCCCGTGCCCGCGCGCGGACCCTCAAGCCTGCCGGAGAGGGCTGCCCAGAGCTGGGGAACGGCCCGAGACGGCCCGAAGCGGTCCTCCCCGTTCCAAGGTCGCGGCGCAGCCGAGAGATCCGCGCGGACCTCCGAGTTTTCAGGTGTATGTCATGGTTTGGTTCCCTATGAAAGGCGAAGATCGGGTCGGGCAAAAGGGGGGGATAGCAAAGGGGGGGTTTGAGAATCAGCTCGCGTAGCTGATTTTCCCGGCGCCTCCCGGCGCCGGGAGGCGCCAATGTATCGAGGAATGGGCCCCTCGGTGAGGCCGAAACCAGCTGCATGCAGCAAATTTCGTAACCTCCCCTTTCCCAATCCCCCCCTTTCGCCCGGCCCGAGAAGACCGGATGGAGGCAAGTTCGTTGAGAGGGATGGATCGGGAATCTCTGAGATCCAGCGGGCCTGGAGGTCGGACAGGGCGCCGCGGCCGCCGCGGGCCGCTCTGGAAGGTGCCAGGACGCCATGGAGCACTTTGTATTCATCCTAGGCCTGCACCGGCTCGAGATCGAGACCGGAAAGCGAAAGCTCCTCCTCCTCCTCCTCCTCCTCCTCCTCCTCCTCCTCCTCCTCCTCTGCATGACAGGGCGGGGAGGGGGGGCTTGGGCGACTCAGCTCTGGTTCTCATGGCGCCCCCCGGCGCCAGGCGCTGGCCGCATATCTCAGGGAAGGCGCCCGGGCGGTGGTGCCGAAGCCAGGTGCACACAGCAGGTGTTGTACCCCCCCCGTCCCCAGGGCATCCACCCTGTCGTCCGCCCAGGAGGGATAAGATATACATAGGCGCTGGCCGCATATCTCAGGGAACGCGCCCGGGCGGTGGTGCCGAAGCCAGGTGCACACAGCAGGTGTTGTACCCCCCCGTCCCCAGGGCCTCCACCCTGTCGTCCGCCCAGGAGGGATAAGATATACAGAGAGAGAGAGAGAGACAAGGAGAGAGAAAGCGAGAGGGAGAGAGAGAGAGAGAGAGAGAGAAAGCGAGAACCCCCACCTGAGCCAGACGGTCAGTGCTCGATTTCTCTCCGCCGCCCCGCGCGTCTGCCTCCTTCCTGCCTCCTATCCTCCCCTGCTAAACCTTCTTGTTCTCAACCTGCCTTTGCCCATCTCGGCGCAAGCCGTACTCAGATCGTGCCCAGCAAGAAGGAGCTTCACCCACACGGTCACAGTGAGAGAGGCGGTGTGCGCCCACCTGCCTGATGCTGGACACTCGTGCTGGTCGGCGTGCCCCACAGGGAGCTCCGCCGACGGCCGCAGTGAGAGTTCGAATGCGCCCCCCGCCAATTTCGGCACACACCTCATGATGTGACTCTCCCCTTGCGGCCCCAGAGAGAGAGTTCGCATGCGACCCCCTTCCGCCGATTTTGGCACACCCATGCAGTCGGCTCGTCTTGTAAGGATGCGCGGTAAGGATGCAAGGGCCTTGGAGGCCCACGCGAACGTTTTTCAAACAAGGTTGGTCAGCGAAAGTCGCTAAGGATGGGCCGAAGGGTCAAGGATGCAAGGGTACTCTTGGGAAGGTTGCCCTGGAGTGCTCCGAGGGGGAGTCGGGAAGACGAAAACTGTAAAAACATGAATCAGGACCCATGCCCCTCAGGATCCCGATTGCTGCAGGGCGGTAGGTGTGGAGAGAGGGTGGAAGTGAATGGAGGCGGGGAGGAGGGAAACAAACACGGGTGAGGGCGAGCGAGCGGATGAGACGGAGAGGCCCCCTGAAGAGCGCCCGCGCGCGCGGCCGTCTCGAGGCTCCCAGAGGAGCCGAAGGAGGCGGTCGTGCCGTTGCTGGCGCCGAGCTTCTTGGAGGGCGCCTGGCCGGAGAAGAAACAACATTCGATGAGAAAGCTGCCTCGAAAAGCAGATGGGGATTGGGTGTCAGTCACCACGGGGCCTCGTCGTCCGACAAAGAGACTCCGCGGTGACATCATGAGCCGACACGTCACGACTGTACTGCAAATGCAGACGGGGCGCGCCGTGAGTGGCATTTGACGCAGGCTGCGCGCGTCGTGGCCTGGGATGCCATCGCGAGTGTCAACCTCACGAAGCGAAACTCGAAAGACCTCTCGCGGCCAAGACCATCTGCAGCCGCCACTGTGTCTCGTGCACGCGGCGGGGAGCCTGGAGGCCCATGGGTGGCAAGCGGATTGCATGGAGGCCTCATGGAATGCATTCTGGGCAGATGTGGCCAGATGATCGCGCCGCATCGCCCATGCGTCGGCGCCATCGAAGTTGCACCGGCGGCGACGGCGTGAGCAAAATCGGAATCCGAATCGAGCCGCATGGCCGATGCATTGGCGATGCGTCCCGATCCTCCCGCCCCACGTGGCCCAAGCCAGCTGGGGCCAAAACCCTGCCGCCGCCCCTGCCCATGCCCTCCCGCGGATGGCGGTCGAGACGTGAATTGTTGCTCCTTGAGGTGGTTCGATTGCCGCCGCGGGCCAACGACTCCGACTCATCGACCCATGGAGACGCAACGCTGACACAAAAATAGCACTGGGGCTGGCCTGCGTGATAGACTGCGGGCGGCAACGGCGCAAGAGAGCACTCCCGTGTGACCCCGGAAGCGACGGCATGATTTTCGACCCGCGCATGCGCATGACTAGCGGCAGCAGCTACCAAGCGGACCAACCTTCTGGGAATAAAGGGTTTAGCGAGCTCGTTCTTCCAACCCCCGTTCTTCCGCGCTTTTTCTTCAACCCCCGGCCAGACGACCCCCCCTCCTCGCCTAGCCAGAAGAAGAGGGTGCATGGCTTCTCTGCAGGTCGAGAACTGGAGGGGCTGAAAAAAGGTCATCTCCGACGAAACTATCATCACGAAATACTCGTGGGGTCGTCTTGGGGCCCTGTTAGTGATGACTCATGGTCGTCTTACGGCCTGGCGAGAGCTCACTCGTGGTACCCGCCAGCAGAGCCTCACGGGAGAATCTTGGGCCACCTTTGGGAGCCTAAGGACCTCAGTGGGGCTGCAGGGGCGACCAAACATGAAGCGGTGGCCGCTTCTGCGGGAAAGACTTGTGTCCATATCCTCCGCAGCTTGGAGTTTCGGGCTTTCCCAAAAAAGCTCTTCATGGCCCACGCCATGATATCCACCCCCTCCTAGCCATCACCCCCCTGTTTGCCGCCCCCGATTACATCCATGCTTGCGTTTCCTCGAGGAGGAGGAGGAGGAGGAGGAGGAGGAGGAGGAGGAGGACGAGGAGAAGGAGGAGGAGGAGGAGGAGGGGGAGGAGGAGGGGGAGGAGGAGGGGGAGGAGGACAACCTGGCCGTCGTGGCCCGCGGGGAGGGCGCCGGTGCTGTGCGGCCCCCCCGCCATGGGGGCGCAAGCGGGCGGCGCGAGGCCCCCGCCGAGAAAGGGCGGGCCTCCGCGGCCCCAGGGCCACGCATGCGGGGCAGGCCCCCTTGGGATTTGAGAGAGCAGGGGAGGAGGAGGAGGAGGAGGAGGAGGAGGAGGAGGAGGAGGAGGAGGAGGAGGAGAGAGGAGAAGGGAGGGAGGAGGAGGAGGAGCGAAGAGGAGGAGGAGGGAGGAGGAGGAGGAGGAGGAGCGAGGAGGAGGGAGGAGGAGGAGGAAAACGAGGAGGAGGAGGGGGAGGAGGAGGAGGAGGAGGAGGAGGAGGAGGAGGAGGAGGAGAGGAGGAGGAGGAGGGAGGAGGAGGAGGAGGAGCGAGGAGGGAAGGAGAAGAGCGAGAGGAGGAGGATGAGGAGGAGCGAAGAGGAGGAGAAGAGGAGGAGGAGAGGAGGAGGAGGAGGAGGTGGAGGAGGAGGAGGAGGAGGAGGGAGAGAGGGAGGGAGGGAGGGAGGAAGGGAGAAGGAGGAGGAGGAAGAGGAGAGGAGGAGCGAGGAGGAGGAGGAGGAGGAGAAGGAGGAGGCGGAGGAGGAGGAGTAGGAGGAGGAGGGAGGAGGGAAGAGGGAGAAGGAGAAGGAGGAGGAGGAGGAGGAGGAGGAGGAGGAGGAGGGAGGAGGCCTTTGTGTGGGCCTCCCGGATGGGGTCCGCAGATCAGGGAAAGAAAGACCACCCCGACCCCTGGAGTTCCCGGAGGTCCAACGCATTGAAAAAAACAAGACGCAGGTATTTCGCAATGTTCGGTCTCTACAGGGGCCCTCGCTGGGCACAAGGGCCGTCAAAGAAGGGCTCGGGATGGCTGCTGGGTGATGGGTTGAGACTTCTGGGGGCCGCTGTAAACAAAAAAACGACATCGGATCTCTGGGAACGGTACAAGATAATTGATGTTCGCCGTCTGTTGGCGGCGCGAAGGCTCCTTAAAAGGATGTCGTTTCTTAGAAGGCGCCGGCCCTGCATCTACAGACAAGGCCCGTGCCTTCTAAGCAGCAGGAGTGCTGCTAAGAAGCCTTCTCCCATCCCCAATACCCCTCTCTGCGCGTGGCTGAGTCGGGGACGCCTGTCCCAGGGCGACTGGAAAGCTCAGACCCCTAGCACGTGAGGGTATATAAACTTGCCAGCCGCCATGGGACAGGCGCCCCCAGCGACGAAAAAGCTTATGTCTTATACCGTTCTTCGCCCGCTAAGGAAATCACGACGTCTGTGTCTGGAAGGGCGGCACCCCGGATGCCGTCCCCGCCGCCCGTGGGCCGCTCCGGCTGCTCAGGGCGGCAGTCTTCCACCTCTGAACGCTCGCCCTCCTCTCCCTCCCCGCGGCCGCCATTCCGCTCTCTCTTTCCCTCCCCCTCCTGCATGCCGGCCAACTCGCTCTCCAGTGCCCCTGCATCGCTGCCACGCTGCAGCGGAGTGTCCCGCCTCGCTGCTGACGGACCCCAAAGAGAAGCTGTGTCTGGAGTTATGTCGGGCCTGTCCCCCTACGGGAGGATTTTCGACGAAACACAAAAAACAACCCAAATTACCTCAAAAATCCCCCTGGAGGGGCCCAGGCCCGACGTAAGTCTGGAGGGGGGGGGCCAGGGTCGAGGGTGCGGGGGCGGACGCGACCCGCCCGGGCGGCCGCCCCCCCCTGGGGGCGGCGGACCAGGCGCGCGGTGCCGCCGGCGCCTCCCACGGCATGCGCGGGGTGAGAGTCCACCCGCCCTTGGAGCTGAGGGAGTCCTGCGCGCCCACGGGGGGCGACGGAGCCGCGGAGGCAGGAGAAGGAGGGAGAGGAGGAGCAGGAGGAGCGGGAGGAGGAGGAGGAGCAGGAGGAGGAGGAGGAGGAGGCGTGGGAGGAGGAGGAGGAGGAGGGGGAAGAGGAGGAAGAGGAGGAGCACCAACATAAACTCCCGACGGTCCGCGCGGATTTCTCAGAGATCCGCGCCCATCCCCAGCGCCTCCAGCGCGCCGCTCCGCACTCCGCGCGCCTGGGAAGGGAGGCGCTCCCTCCGCGCAGGACCAAGACAAATCCGCGCGGAGCGTCAGACGTTTATGCTTGTGTGAGGTCGGGAATGTCCTGCAACAGGCGGATGTTGAACGAAGACCCAACCATATTCAAAGCAATACGCAGCCAGAACCCAAGCATGACCCAAACATCGTAACCAGATGATGTGACTATAGTTGATTATTCTTCCTGTACGAGGGGCATGCCCGACTGAATGCTTATGCCGGTTTCTCTTCCTCGAGGAAGATGCCCCTGGGCCGAGGTGGCACGCCGCTCTTCGCTCGTCGGAGGGCCCCTGGGGCCTCGTGAGAGGTGCTCTGGAGGCCGTTGGGGCCTCCGCTCGGAAGCCAGGCAATGGCTGCTAAATGCGTGGCTGCTAAAATCGACCTCTGGGAAATTGTCTTCGTCCTTCCGGGAAGAAGCCCGTTGACTGTTTCGCGTGCCGCGCCTCATTCCGGGAAGTAACTAGTTTTTTCCTTCCGGGAGGGCCGTTTTAGCAGCCACGGTTTTAGCAGCCCTCGCCCAGCTTCTGATCCGCGGAAATCCTGGGGACACCTCGGGCCAGGTCTTGAGCCAAGGCACTTCACTTCCAGCAACACGCGAACCAAGGGGGGAGGCAGGGGGGGGGCGAAAGGGTAGGGACAGGAAAGGGCAGGAAAAAGGTCCTCTCGCGTAGCTGGCTTTTCTGCGCCGCCTGACGCCGGGAGGCGCCCCTGTATCGAGGAACGGGCCTGGCGGCGGGGCGGAAACCAGCTGCACGCCTCAGATTTCGTAACCCATCCTTTCCCTATACTACCCTTTCGTCTGGCCCGAGCCCAGACCACCTCGGGGCATGGGAAACATCACGGCGGGCACCTTGCTGCTATGCTCGGCTCATGAAGGCCTCACCGGGGTCGAGGAACGTCAAGAACGACTCGGGATGGAAAACAGGTCCCAGGGACTGGGTCGAGACCTCTGGGGGTCGACGTTATGTTGAGCAGGACCCGGCCGTCCCGGCATTCCTATGTGCCTACCACGAAATGTTGTTAGAACCAAACATGTTCTTAGAACGTAACCCGATCTGCGAGAACCAAACAATATCGGCCAGAATTGTTCTAAGAACATCTTGTGCAGACCACAAGAGGTTATTGAAACATTTTGTGGTGAGCCTATGGGCCAGGACGCCTTGCCCCTGCTTGACTAGCCGACGCCGCCTGGGCGTCGGCTGGGGATGGGCGGCCTGGGGCTGGAAGGCGCGGCCGCGCAAGAAGGTTCGGGGTGACGGCGCTTTCGGTGGGGCGGCCGCGGCCCCGAGGGGCTTTTCGTTGCACGAGAAGCCCAATCAGCAGCCCCCTCCGCTCCCCAGACATGACCGCGTCGTAAAGAAATCAGGACGGGAGGATTTCGGCCGTCTTCAGCCCGTGGAGGCCCTCGCAAGGCCTCGGGACCATCAACAATGCGACTCAGAATGAAAAACCTGTCCCGTGGAAAGGGTCGGGACTTCCAGGGGCCCGTCTTGAAAAATCAGGACGTCGCATGTCTGGGTCAATAGAGGCCTCCCAAACGGTGTCGGAGGATCGCGCCGCACGCCGCATCGCCGATTCATCGGCGATGCATCGACAATGCATCGGCAACGTCGGCGACGCATCGGCGACGTCGGTGTCGACGTAAAGACGCATCGGCGATGCATCGGGAGGTGTGATCCTCCGGCCCCGCGTACACGGACGCCAGCTGGGAGGCCTAGACTCGGGGGGTGGCAGAAGGGGGAGCATGACTCGTGCTCCCCCTTCCACCACCACCCGAGGCTCACGACCCATGCTCCCCCTGCTCATTGAGGGCGAGGGAGCGCTCTGGGATTCCCGGTTGGCCTCGCGCGCGCCCGCGCAGGAGTCTTGAGGCCAGGGCAGATCAGGAGCAGGGCAGCCACCGACGGCGACGGCGCAGACGACGACGACGGACGAGCGAACGCCGTGGCGCGAGCGACAGCGGACGCAGACGGAACCTGCCGCCCCGCGGCCGGGCCGGGCGCTCAGCCTGTGAGGTAAGGGGGGGGGGGGGAGGGTGGGGCCCTGGGACACACACACACACACACACACACACACACATAAATAGACCCAAATCCCAGGAGTCCCCATAGGTTTCAGATGTTCAGGAGGAGTTCCTTCGCCCCCCCCACTTCCATGCTCTCCCACATGCTCCCGGGGATCGACGACGACCTGCGTCTGTGTGTCTTCTTCCCTCCTGAGGGACGAGGGGGAAAACATGGGAGGGAGAATGCCACCACCGCACACGGGAGGGCATAACCAGAACCCTGCGGAGCTCCGCGCGGAGTCCTCGTGCCTTGGCGCGGGCTCCCCCCCCCCCCGAGGGGGGGCGCCTCTGGCGCGCCCCTGGCCCGCCCCCCCCGCCCGGGGACGGGGGGCCCAGGGCCGATCCAAGACGTCTGCCCGGACCTCCGAGAGCGTACGCTGGTGCCGCCTTGGGCTCCTCCAGGGGCAGGAGCGACGAGGAGGCCCGAGGACTTGAGGGCGGGAAGCGGGAGCGCAGGATGGCCGACCAGGGACGAGCGGCCGGAGGGGAGCGGCAGGAGGGAGGGAGGCGGCCGGAGGAGGAGACAGGAATGCAGGGGGTCGGAGGGCGAGGAGGGCAGAGGAGGAGCAGGAGGAGGAGGAGGAGGAGGATCAGGAGGAGGAGGTGAAGGAGGAGGAAGAGGAGGAGGAGGAGGAGGAGGAAAAGTAGTAGTAGTAGTAGTAGTAGTAGTAGGAGGAGGAGGAGGAGGAGGAGGAGGAGGAAAAGGAGGAGGATGAGGAGGAGGAGGTAGGTTGAGGAGGATGAGGAGGAGGAGAAGAAGGAGGGGGAGCAGGGCGGGGGCGCCGGGCGGAGGCGCCGACGAGACAGGGAGACGACGAGGCGGAGCAGCGCGGCAAGGAGAGAGGACCACGTGCGACGGCGGGTGGGCAGCGGACGAAGAGGCGGGCGAGGACGACGACGCCCACCCCAGACATCCGACGTCTCGAATTTTTCGAGACACGGGCCCTCGACCTCCCGACCACTTCCGCGGGACCGGTTTTTCACCCCGAATAGTTTTGTTCACGGTCCCGAGGCCCGGCGAGGGCCCCGAGAGGCCGAACACGACGAACAACCCGTCTCGATTTCTTCGAGACGCCCGATGTCTGGGACGACTCCGGCGATGAGGTGCGCCGACCCATAAATTCCCCGGCGCTTGCCCCGACGCCCGGCTTGGACCGCCCACGGCGCTCGAGCGCTCCAGCTGCTCCGTCGAGGTCGTGATCGTCGCCGTCGTCCTCCTGCTCCACTTCCTGCAGCTCCTTCTCGTCCTCCTCGCCGTCGCCCTCTTGTTCGCAGTGGCCCTCAGCTTTCTCGCCCTCCGTCCAGACTTTCAACCCCCAACCGGTGGATCTCTTCCTCGGGCATCCTCGGCCCTGACCTTCCCCCGTCACCAGCTCCAGTGGAGACGAGCTGGAAGCACGTCTGCAGGCTGGCCGAAGACCATTCTGGCCGCCACCGACGGCGATGCATGGGAATCAAAGCAGAATCAGACGTGTCATAATTCTGGCATCCAGGAGAACGCCTCGCTTTCACAACTGGTGTTTGGCCAACCTCTAAGAGGCCAGGTGTTGCCCTGTTGAAGGGGTGCCGCATTTCCTGCGAAGTCGTTTTGTGGAATATCTGAGCCAATCGCGCTCCTGTCGAATCCTTGTCGACGCGCCGTCACCTGGCGCCTGGCTAGACTGACTGACTGACCAACAGCGGTGTTGTACGGCGGCCCATTCACAACATGCCACATCGCACGAGCTTCCCGCGCCGTAAAACCGCTGCAATATTGAGATCGACGCCTCTCTTCAGGCTGGCCGCTCGCTTTTCATTCAGCCCGATTGCTGCCGCAAGAGCAGGTAAGATACTTACAGGCGTAAGCATCCTTACCATCCCCATGTGAGGGTTGGATATGGCGATGGCGGATGTGGAGATGACTGCGATACCGGTGGAACTGAACGATATACTCCAAAAAACAACGAACACCGAAAAAGGCTCGCAACAAGAAAACGATACGGAAGGCACGAAAACCTACGGAACCACCGTGTCTCGTCCCACCTCGAACTGGACCTCATTCAAACGAGCAGGCTGGATTGACGATGATGGCAGTGGCCATGATCACGGCCGCAGTGTGCCTGCGGCACAGCTGAGCTGGCTGCGCTGGGTCCACGCTGGACCGCAACGCGTCGCGACGACGCTACCACGTTTGCACGAGCCCCCAGAATTGGGGCCGCTGTCGGATCTCCTTATTGTGAAGCAAGACGCGCGTGAGGTATGTGCCAAATTGAGCGGTGTCGCCACGCGAGCTTGCACACTGAGCCACGCTTGGAGTCCCTTGTGGGGCGGAATCCTAATGAGGTGTGTTCCTAACTGGGCAAAGCGATGCCGCTCGCGTGGGAAAGGTGCCGCATTGGGCGAGACGACGCCGTGCGAATTCTTTCAAGTCGGCCGTAGGTGGGGCTCCCTTGAGGACGCGCTCCTCATGAGGGGTGTGCTCGGTTCAACGGAGAGGCGCTATGCGGGTTCCCCCGCTGGAGTTGTCCCTGGAGCTATTCGTGTGGCCGATCCTCGTGATGGGTGTGCCGAGATAGACGAATGCGAGCCCTCGGACCTGAGACGCAGTTGGAGCTCCCTGCGGTTGAGGGGTGAACCGAACTTGGACGAGTGGCGCTCTCCGAGTCCCCACCGCAGGGGATGGAGTTG